CACATACACCTACCTGCCCGCCCCCCCCCCCCCCCCAAGGCCCTCCGCGGCCCCTCCACCAGATAGACAGCCCCTCTCTCCCCCTGCCCCCCCCCCCCCGTCTTCCCCCCCCCCCCCCCCCCCCCCCCCCCCCCCCCCCCCCCCCCCCCCCCCCCCCCCCCCCCCCCCCCCCCCCTCCCCGCCCCTCTGTCTATTCCCCTCTCCGCTGCCCTCGGCTTCTCCCCCCCCCCCTGCCCCGCTCTCCTCTCCGGGCCGAGATCCTCCTCGCAGACAATAAACAACACATTTGAATTCGATCGTACACATACACACGCGCACTTGCGCTGTCCTGCCGGCTCTTTGCCCTCGTCCCTGTCTCCCCCTTTCCTCGGCGGGGGGCCGGGTCACTTGCGGCTCTTCTCGAGCTCGGCGGTCGAGGGATTGGGCACGGTCATGGCGAAGGAGGACGACCGGCCGGAGGAGCCCGGCCCGTCGGATGGCGGCTGGGCCTCCAAGTTCAGCTGGGACAGGGTGACATCGACATTGACTCGAGCCCCGGTGGGGGCCAGGTGCGAGCCGACTGAGGATGTCCGAGGGCCGGTCCCGGCACCGACGGCGGCCCCGGTGCCAGCGCCAACATGGGGCACAGCATGCTTGGCTGTGGCCGACAGCATGGACTCCGGCCGGTGATGGCGCTGGTGTAGGGTCCCGCCGGTGCGGCGCGCCCCGCCGTCGATCGAGAGCTCGCCGCTGCTGCCGCTGCCGGAAAGGGCGCGCGATACGCTGCCCAGCGCCTCCATCTCCTCCAGCGTCAGGGGCCGGAGGCCGGTGTGGCTGGCGGGGTGCTCGCTGGCCGGGGCGGCCGGGCCGGGGCGCGCCAGGCCGGCGGTCGGGCCGGATGGCGCCAAGTCACCAGGCCGCGGCAGCCCCTCCGAAGAAGGCAGGGGCGAGCTGCTCCGGTCGCTTGGCCCCCCCCCTCCGGGCGGGACCACGGCGCCGGGCGCCGGGGCCGCGCCCCATGCGGCCGCGCCCTCCTCGGTCGGGCGGCCGATCGCCGACGCCGGCACCGGCGGCGACATCATCGCCGATGCTGGGGCCGCCGCGTGGCCCACCTCCGGGGAGTTGAGCAGCGACCCGACCAGCGTCTCTTCCAAGGTCTGGAGGGACAGCTGCGCCGGGGCTGGCACCGGGGCCGGCTGGCGTCCGTTCAGCACGGCCAGGTCCGGCAGCAGGGTGTCCTGCTCGGCGGGCGGGGAGGGGGGCGCGCGCGCGGCGGCCCCCCCGGGCAGGGAGTGCATGGCTGGACGCCCGGAGAGCACGGTCAAATCCGCCAGCATGGGACTGCGGCGGGGCTCCGGGGCGGCGGGCGCGCGCGGGCCGACCGCGGGCCGGTCGCCGGCCGCCGACTTGGGGATCTCCATGGACGAGCGCCAGGACAGGGCTTCGCCGGCTGGCCGCGGGCTGCCGGGCGACAGGACCGCCGGGGCGGCCATGGGCGTGCCTCCGCCCTTGCTGCCGGCCGGCCCGCCGGCGGCCATGCTAGTGGCTGAGGAGCGCCAGCTGCCGGGGCCGGTGCGCGTGGGGCTGGCTGGAGGGGTGAGCCGGTTGCCGGCCCGGGGCCCGGGGGGGGGCCCGCCATGTGGCCGAGCTGCAGCAGCTCCTGCGCCGGTGGCCCCGCCGTTGGCGGTAGGGCTCCGGGGTGGCGGGTCGCGCGCCGGGGACCTGACGCGCGATCCTTCGCCCGGGCGAGTGGGCGACGCTGGCACCGAGGGGGGCGCGCCGGCGCGGCGCAGGTGC